GGTTCTAAAATAAGCCCCTACGTTCTGTAGTCTTCTGTGGTTCAGTTTTCTTTGGATCCCAAAATGCATCATTAATATAATATAACAATATTATAATGTAATGTGATATGATATGATATGATATGATGTGGCTTTCAGACTGATTCTCTGGCTCCAGGTAAGGTAGCTTGGCCTCCCTGACCGTCACTGGTCTGCGGCCTGAGGATGAGGAGGATCTGTGGCTGCTGATCATGGGACAGCAGCCCAGAGCTCACATGGCAGTCGTGCACATAGGGTGATTTCTCTGTATGTGTGTTCCTGTTACAGCCTCTGTCTTTCCACACACCGTGTGCAGTGTCTGGAAACAGCAGGCAAAGTTGGAGCTGTAGGGACACAGTTTACAGAGACTGACGCTTTGAGAAAAATGGTGGTCTTCCATTGAGAAAAAAATCTAGGTGTTAGGGCATCACTGATCCCGTGGTTGATTTTCTGAGACCTCTTTTCACTCTATTGACACAAGAAAAATTACAGTATAAAAAGACACTGCGCCATGTGCTTAATATTCTTTAGCACAGTAGCCCAAGGGTGTGGGCCCTGTAGCCAGGAGGGGGTGCCATGTGATGTCCTGAGTGTGCAGATGTGCCAGGCAGCTGGACCACTCAGCCGGCTCTCGGCGATGTGGGCACACTGCGCCCTCACTGATGGGTGATTTTCTGCCACCTTTGATGCCTCCGCCTGCCGCCACCGTCCCACAAGCTCCTGGGTCTGGCTGTCTTATTGCTTCAGATATGGGGTCATCTCCTTTTTCTTCTATAGAATCTTTGCCCAAATCTGGTCCAGGAAGGGCTGATAGACAGTGAGGATCCAAAATGTATGGGGATAGAGCAAGTCTGCTCCTAGGAGAGGCTGCCTGGTGGGTGAGACACAGCCTGGGGGCAGAATCCCCACAGCTGAGCCTCTGGACGCAGGGCTCTGCGGCATCTCCTGCACATCCCAGAGCTTTTTTCCCTCAGTCTTTTCTAAATGAGACACTTGCCAGGGGTTTAGGTGAAGGGGTCCTTGGGGTCATACAGGACCTGCCTTTCTCCTCTGGTCTGCGAGGAGCCAGTTGGCTGTGATACCAGATGCAGAACCCTCTGGCAGTGGATGGGTCACTTGGTCACAAGATCACCACCTTCATCCTGAAGCTCTATAAGAGTGATGGTGTCTGTTCCCTGGCTTTCAGCCTGAGGGGAGACTGGTTATTCCTACAGACCTGGAATCAGAACGTCCGAGCTCACACTGTGCTCTGGGCCCTGCGGAAGTGGGCCAGCACATCCCTTCTGCATTTGCCCAGCCATTTGTTCCCTTATCACAACCTGCCATCAACACTATCTCACTGGAGGATTTTTCCACTGTCATCGCTGCTACGAACGCCTGAAGATCTAAGGCATCTGGGCCTTTGAGGGAGCTTTGGGATCCAGGTAGGAGGTTGCGAGCCCCAGGGGACCCAGGCCAAGGAGGGCCAGTTTGAGAAGGCAGGCCCGCTAATGGGAGCAGGCCTGTGACTGTGGTCCCAGCTGAAGACCAGAAGCAGCCCTGCCCCTTGTAGCTTCGGCTGCAGCCCCACTTGTCTGCAGTCCTGCTACCAGCCCTTTCTGCCAGGACCTGGTAGCAGCCCTGGCTATAGGTGCCCCTGGTAGCAGGGCCCCTGAGCTAGGACCTGACTGTGGCCCCTGAGGTAGTCCCAGGACTTGGGTCAGCCCTGCTCTAAGGTGGCCTGAGACAGTTTGTCTACCCAGGGGCCTGCCCAGTAGGGGCCCGAAGCCACATCCATAGGAATTCCTGGTAACAGGCTCACCAGTCTTGAACCCAACTGTGGTCCCTGAACCAGGCCTATGAACCAGCTCCAGATCTGTGGTCCAGAGGCAGTCCCACCAAGCCAGGGACTAGCCACGGACCTTATGGGAGCATGCTCAGGGACCAGGTGGAAGGCACATCTGACTGTGCCTTTGGTAACAGGCCTGCCAGTCACGGACCCAACTGCAGACTTGGCAACAGCAATGAATCTGGGCTTCAGCCTGACTTGACCACAATCCTGGAGGTAGTCCTAACAGGTCAGAGACCCGGTAGGAAAAGTCTTTACCTGCCAAAAAAACAGACTGTAAAGACTGGAAGAGGTGTCTGCTCTTTCAAAGATACAAACATCACTGCAAGGCTACGTGGATCACGAAGATTCAGGTAAACAAGACACCACCAAAGAAATGAACAAGGGTCCAGTGACTATCCCTAAAGAAATAGAAATCCATGGATTGCTTGACTGACCATTCAGAATAATCATCTGAAGCTCAATGAGCTGCAAGAGAACAAAGAGAGGCACCTAAACAAAATCAGGAAAACAATGCATAAGTGAGAAGTTTAACAAAGAAATAGAAACCATAAAAAAGAACCAAATAGGAACCCTGGAGCTGAAGAATACAATGGTGGAACTGAAAAATTTAGTGGAGGACATCAATAGCTGACTCACTCACACAGAAGAAAGAATCAGAACTCAAAGACAAGTCATTTGAAATAATTGGTAATTCTACCAAGCATTAAAGAATTAATGTCAATCCTTCTCAAAATCTTCCAAAAAATTGAAGAGAAAAGAACACTTCCAAACTCATTTTATGAGGCCAGCATTGCCCTTTCACCAAAGCCAGAGAAGGCTACTCCAGGAAAAGCAAATAGCAGGCCAATATTCCTAATGAACATAGATGCAAAAATCCTCAACAAAATATTAGCAACAGCACATTAAGAGAATCATTCTCCCATGGTGAAGTGGGATTTATCCCCCCAGATACAAGCACGGCTCAACATACACAAATCAATAAATGCGATACACTACATTAGCAGAATGAAGGATAAAAATCATATGATCATCTTAATAGATGCAGAAAAAGCATTTGAAGAAATTCAACACCCTTTCATGATAAATGCTCTCAATTAAATAGGTATAGAAATAATTTACTTTAATGCAATAAAGGTCGTATATGACAAGCCTATGGCTAACATTATGCTGAACAGTGAAAAAAACAAACGCTTTTCCTTTAAGATCAAGAACAAGGCAGGGTTGCTCACTCTCCCATCTGCTGTTCAACGCAGTAGGAGCCCTGTAGTCAAAGCAATTAGGCAAGAAAAAAAGAAGAAGAAAAAGAAATAAGACTGTACAAATTGGAAAAGAAGAAGAAAAATGATGTTTATTGCAGATGACATGATCTTCTATGTAGAAAACCCTAAAGACCCCACCCAAAAAACTCAAGGTTTTCTGAAGTTATATATAAATGTCCAGAAAGCATATGAAAAAAACGCTCCACATCATAATCCTTAGAGAAATGCAAATTGAAACTACAACGAGGCATCTGCTGCTATTAGGATCACTGCTATTAAAAGACCAAACAGAAAAATAACAAGTGTTGGCAAGGATGTGGAGAAATTGGAATCTTGCACATTGTTGGTGGGATTGCAAAATGGTACAGCTGGTATGGGCAACTTAGAGGTTCCTCAAATATTAAAAATAGAATTATTGTATGATCCAGCAACCCCACTTCTGGGTATACATCCAAAAGAATTCAAAGCAGGGCCTTAAAAACATATTTGTACACCCATGTTCTCAGGACCACTATTCTCAGTAGACAAGAGGTGGGAACAAGTCAATGTCCATTGACAGATGGTTGGATAACAAAATGCGGTACACATAAGGGGAGATGCAGGTCAGCCCTAGAAAGAAAGCAAATACTACATGTTGCAACACGGTGACTAGTGTGCGAAGTGATTTAGTCCAGACACCAAAAGACAGATACTATATGGTTACACTTACATGAGGTCTGTAAAGGAGTCAAATTCATTGAAACAGAAAGTAGAATGGTTTCAGGGCCTGGGAAGAGAGGGAAATGGAGAGTTGTTTGATATAGAGTTCCAGTTTTTCAAGATGAAAAAGTTCTGGCAATCGGTTGTACAACAATGTCAATATACTTATACTATGTCAGAACCGCTAACTCTGATCACATAATTGCCTTAAAAAAGAGGCTCAAACTGGGCTTAAACTATTCAACACAAAAATAAAACAGTAATGAATAAAATAAAATACAAATAAAATAGTAATCCCCAACTGGCCCACAAAATAAGGAACCTCAGATTTATATGGACTCTTTTCTGTGCCCTGTCCAGACATCCAGTAGGGCACTCGCCGTGTAGATCATCTCCCCAAAGCTCCTTCAAGTTCATCTGGTCCTGCTGACTTTCCATTCTAACATCTTAACATCACATCTTCATGGCACCTGCTGATCATGGGCTCTAACTGCCTTGGCTTCTGATTCAGACCCAGCCTGTCCCCTCCGTGCCGCCCTAGAATCTTCCTCCCCTTCTGGTGTCTTCTGAAGAGGAATTCCCCCCTCTTCCTGCCTGAATGCCTAGGTTCCCTCCAGGGAATGGCTCATAACCCACCCCATGTGGTCCCTCCTGCAGAAGGCAGAGCCCTTGCGTCCTCATCTTTCCAAATAGAGCTCATTCTCCTTGTGATGTTTACAACCCCCAATAGCACAAATGACTCTAAAGGTCTGCACAAGAGTAACGGTCCTTGGACCATGTACATAGATATGAAGGTTTAAATGCAATGGGTCATAGGATGTTGTGCAGAGACACCCCTGGACTCGGGGCTGGAATGGTGAGGGATGCGGACTGGGGAGGGCAGGGGCTCTGAGCCCAGAGTGGACATGTGTCCTGCCTGCATCCACCACAGGGCACGTGGCCCCCACACGGGCTCGCTGCTCCCCGTTTTCTCAGCTGGTTGCCCTGCCCACCACTTGCAGGTGTTGCTGTGACCTCACAGGGGTTAAGAATGTTCCCTCCGCTATAGTTTTTCCTTCTCACTGGTGGGGTCAAGGCTGGGGGTGAAAGAGGGCTTTGCACAGCCTCCAGAAAGGGGAAGATTTGCATGGAGACCTCCCACCCTGAGCTTCAGAGGACACATAAAGGGCGCTGAGGCCTGGCTGTGGGGCTCAGGAAGCTAAGTCAGGGGTGTCCCCACCATGGCCTGGGATCCGCTGCTCCTCCTCACGCTCCTCGCTCTCTGCACAGGTGGCTGCCTGCAGAGAGTTGTGGGAGGGCGTGTGGCTGTTACCAGGGCTGAGGCCCCTGCCTCCTGCCTGGGGACAGGGTCATCTCTGTCCTCACTGGTGCCCATGTTGCTCCCTTCTTGCAGGGTCTTGGGCTGAGGTGAGGCTGACTCAGCCCAGCTCGGTGTCGGGGTCTCCAGGGCAGACGGTCACCATCTCCTACATCCGCAGCAGCAGCGGCAGCATTGATGACTACTACATATATTGGTACCAGCAGCACCCAGGCAGGGCCCCCACCACCGTGATCTACAATGACGACCAAAGACCGTCGGGGGTTCCTGATCGGTTCTCTGGCTCCGTTGACAGCTCCTCTAACACTGCCTCCCTGACCATCTCTGGGCTCCTGGCCGAGGATGAGGCTGATTATCCCTGTCAGTCTGGTTATGACAGTGACTATAAGCTCACTGTGCTCCAGACCCATGGGGAAGTGAGACCCAAACTTCCCAGAGCCTGCAGATCCTGTGTCTGCCCTACATGTGTCCACCCAGGGGGAGGGCTGTTCTTTCCTGTCTCCTGCTGGAAGGTTTCCATGGAGATTGTATGTTTGTGAGTCCCTCTATTTTCTTTTCAAAATATGAATTTTCCTTCCATATCCTGATGGATGATCTCCCAGTCCCTCTACAATCACTTCATGGAGATGATGGAGTTCAAACAGGGTTTCTGAAACTGGGCATTACTGCCAAACTGGCTGGATTTTTCCCCACCGTGGGGGCCGTTCTGTGTGCGTAGGATGCTTGCAGCCTCCTTTGGGCCCCATATCAGTGGTGCCCTACTGCTAAGACCTGACTCACAAAACACTTCCAGTGATTTCCAAATATCCCCCAGGGGTGGGGGCAAAAACACTCTGGTTTTAGAAGTACAGGTTTAAAAAAGCATGTTTTCAGCAGTCAGGAAGCCTTCAGCTTTGAATCCTGTTTATGTCGTTCAGTTAGACGGAAGGCTCGATGTATCATCTGTGTGTGTTTCTGCTTTCCCATCTTATTCAACACAATATCGCATAATTGAAATGGTTTTCTTATGGACAAATAGCATTCTAAGCACCATGAGGTCCAAGAAACTGCTACCCAATCACGCAGAACCTCCTCCCAACCAAACTGTGGAGTACCATTTTTGGTCATGCTAAGTGTGCAATTAACATTTTTAGTCTTTATATGGAGCACATAAAAATATAACAGAATTGCATGGAAACCTCCCACCTTATTCTCTCTGGGAGCATTTCTCAAGCACAGGATACAAAGATGAAGAAAGACACAATAAAATTCTACACTTCATAGTTTGTATTTTATGGGTATGAGCAAATTGATAAGAACAGCAGCATGGATGCGTCTGTAACAACGTCCTTTCCTTCACCAGAGTGTCCGGGTTCAAATTTGGGCTCTGCCTCTGTTATGTTCTATGCAAATTTTGGTCCTTAGATCTCCACTGGTCCTTTAGGTCCTTAGATCCACAATGTGGATACTCATAGTTAAGTGAATTAAAATTAAGTAAAGTTGGAAGTCCCATTTCTCCTTCATACTAGCTGCTTAATGACTTCACAGGCCTCGTGGCCAGCATGTTTGAGGGTGCAGACATGGAGTGTTTCCACCATGGAAGGTGGGATCCTACCAGACAGGAGGAGATGCTACGGGACAGGGCTGATGTGGGCAATTCACTTAGCATTTTTCTTAAGTGTGTTTCCTCGCCTGCAAAACGGGGATGTCTAAAACTCTAAACTAATACTCTTCACAATCCCCAACACCCCTCTCTGTGGGAGCATTATACTGTGCCTCCCCACCCTCCAGAACTCAGGAGTGATCGTGTGGTGACCTTTGGACTGTGAAATGAGCAGAACTGGCATGTGGAATGTTTGAGCAGGAGCTGTTAAGAACCAGCATCTTGCTTTGGTAAGTTCTCTTGCCTGGTAGCTATGAGATCGGAAGCGTTCCCAGTAGAATCTTCTCTGTCAGCTGTGTCCTGGGATGAAGTGGCCCAGAGCCACAGACACTCAGGGTTGGAAATGGTATACAAGTGAGAAATAAACTTTGGATTTTGTATGCCCCTGAAATATTGATATAATTTGTTACAGCAGCGTAACGTAGCCTACCCTGACTGCTGTAGGAAGTAGGATCAGACGTGGGATGCTGAAGTGAAAAATAATGAAATATGTAACACTGGCTTTTGTGTCAGACAGTGGACATTGAGTAGACTATTTATGAAGGTTGTAAATATGGTTTTCCATTTTATTTATTGGCAAATATTCTACTGAATTGTCACCTGTGAAACATGGGAGAGGGAAAATAACTTTAATCAGCTGTGGCTGTAGGTTAAGAGGTTGGAAAACTGATGAGAAGCATGGATTAATTCCTACTGGGGTAATTCGTAACTTAATACTTTTAAGAAACGTGCTTAGAAAAGAGCTGTCTCTTCCCTAAGCAAGATAAAAGCAAGAAAGAGAATCCAGAAACATGGAGAATCACAGAACTGTGGGGGGCAAGCTGTTCTCAACTCCACACATTTAAAGATAAAATGAAAATCTTTCAAGTTAAACATTTCAGTGTCCAAAGGAAGGCACGCGGGTATGCCTCAGATCACCAGGGAAGGCCGACGTGCCCCCTCGCGCCCGCTGGTGTCCTGGGCCCGCTGCATGCTTCCCGCGTCCTCACCCCAGGGGCCCACTGGGGGTGCTGCCCACCAGACGCCTCTCCGAATCATCCTCGCCTATGGATTTCCATCTGCTTCTTCCTTCGAGCCTCTTTCCTCCCACGCTGGCCTGGGCCCCCCACCCTGTCCCCTGTCCCCTGACATGGCCCCTCCCAGGCTCGGGCATCCCGGGAAGCCGCTCTGCTCCTTCGCTCTGAGGCGGATTCCCTCTTGCTCTTCCTAAGAGGCCCCTCCCTCCCGTTCCTCCCCGGGGAGATGCACTCCCCGCTTCCCTTAAGAGCGCAGGGAAGGACGTCCCTCTAAGACAATGTCCTCAAAAACCCAATAATGACAGTGTCAAAGGCCACTTGTCTGCCTTGGGGCACTTTTTATATTCACTGTGTCATTAATTTCTTGGACGATTTTCCTTTGAAATTGTAAACCCCTCTAAAACACAGACAGCCCATCAGGATCGGTGAGGGTGAGGCTGACCTAGTTCTTGGCTCACAATGTCTCCGTCAGCACATGTGGAATCACAGTTGAGAGGTGAAGGGCCTGAAACGCAGGACTTGGAAGGAGACTGAAGCTTTACGTATGATCCTCAGGCACATCACGGGGCAGTGTCTGGAGGTCCCATAACGTGTGTTCACTGATGGAGAATCCCCCGAACACTGCAAGTCTGGGTGGGGGCGGAGGGCCTTGGACCCCATGACCACACATGTAAACTGAGTAATTGTGTCCTGTGTTCTTGGTTCGGGGACAGGTTCCAGCAGAAGCCGGCCAGCCCTCCCCGCTATCTCCTGAGGTTCTACTCAGATTCAAATAAACACCAGGGCTCCGGGGTCCCCAGCTGCTTCTCGGGGTCCAAAGACGCCTCGGCCGCTGCAGGGCTCCTGCTCCTCTCTGGCTGCAGCCTGAGGGCGAGGCTGACTGTCACTGCGCCACCTGGCACAGTGGCGTCGCTTGCAGTGATGCACACAGATGGGGAAGTGGGGCGTACACCCCAGGCACCAATGGTGCTGCCTCATGACTCACCTTGTTGAAGTGGGGATACCTCCATCCTACTGTGTGAGACAAGCAAACACAGCTCCATTCAGAAATTGTCTCCCAGATTTTTGTGGGTTTCTTTTTCACCACTTGATGGACATTTGGGTCATTTCTCTTTTTTTAAAATTTTGTTTTGTTTTGTTTTATTATTTTGTTTTTTATTTTGGTATCATTAATATACACTTACATGAGCAACACTGTGGTTACTAGATTCCTCCCATTATCAAGTCCCCACCACATACCCCATTACAGTCACAGCCCATCGGCATAATAAGATGCTACAGAGTCACGACTTGTCTTTTCTGTATATACAGCCCTCCCCGTGTCCCCCCCACATTATGTGTGCTAATCATAATGCCCCTTATTCCCCCCTTATCCCCCCCTTCCCACCCATCCTCCCCAGTCCCTTTCCCTTTGGCAACTGTTAGTCCATTCTTGGGTTCTGTGATTCTGCTGCTGTTTTGTTCCTTCAGTTTTTGCTTTGTTCTTATGCTCCACAGATGAGTGAAATCATTTGTTGTCTTTCTCCACCTGGCTTATTTCACTGAGCATAATACCCTCCAGCTCCATCCATGTTGTTGGAAATGGTAGGATTTGTTTTCTTATGGCTGAATAATATTCCATTGTGTGTATGTACCACCTCTTCTTTATCCATTCATCTACTGATGGACACTTAGGTTGCTTCCATATCTTGGCTATTGTAAATAGTGCTGCGATAAACATAGGGGTGCATCTGTCTTTTTCAAACTGGGCTGCTGCATTCTTAGGGTAAGTTCCTAGAAGTGGAATTCCTGGGTCAAATGGTATTTCTATTTTGAGTTTTTTGAGAAACTTCATACTGCTTTCCACAATGGTTGAACTAATTTACATTCCCACCAGCAGTGTAGGAGGGTTCCCCTTTCTCCACATCCTCACCAGCATTTATTGTTGTTTGTCTTTTGGATGGTGGCCATCCTAACTGGTGTGAGATGATATCTCATGTGGTTTTATGATTTGCATTTCTCTGATGATAAGCGATGTGGAGCATCTTTTCATGTGTCTGTTGGGCATCTGAATTTCTTCTTTGGAGAACTGTCTGTTCAGATCCTCTGCTCATTTTTTAATGGATTATTTGCTTTTTGTTTGTTGAGGTGCATGATCTCTTTGTATAACCCCTTATCAGATATATCATTTATGAATATATTCTCCCATGCTGTAGGGTGCCTTTTTGTTTTACTGTACAGAAGCTTTTTAGTTTGATGTAGTCCCATGTGTTCATTTTTGCTTTTGTTTCCCTTGCCTGTGGAGATATATTCATGAAGAAGTTGTTCATGTTTATATTCAAGAGAGTTTTGCCTATGTTTTCTTCTTAGAGTTTCATGGTTTCATGACTTACATTCAGGTCTGTGATCAGTTTCGAGTTTACTTTCATGTGTGGGTTTAGACAATGATCCAGTTTCATTCTCTTGCATGTAGCTGTCCAGTTTTGCCAACACCAGCTGTTGAAGAGGCTGTCATTTCCCCCATTGTACATGCATGGCTCCTTATCGTATATTATTTGACCATACATGGTTGGGTTAATATCTGGACTGTCTATTCTGTTCCACCAGTCTATGGGTCTGTTCTTGTGACAAACTGGTTTTTTTTTTAACCACATAAATATAGCCTCAGAAAAATACTTCTCACCAACATGGTTCCACTATAGCCAGGATCTGAGAGGAATTTCTGCTGTGAACCTTTATGTGGACTTGAATTTCAGTTTCCCTGTAGAGCTGCCTGCAGTGAAGAACCCTGTCTTTCCCCAGGGCCTCCTTCATGTCTCAGAGACCTCAAGTCAGCCCCGAGGAAGATGCCCTACCCTCCTTCCAGGGCCTCAGGAGTGGCAGCACCAGAGAGAGAGCCTTGCCCACAGCGTTCTGCAAAATGTAACAGGGAGCACTGAGATTCAGGGCTGAGAATGGGCATAGGAGGCAGGAATAACAAGCCCCTGTAGCTCTGATGGTTGGAAGTGACAGATCTGGACCTCCATTAGCTTAGAACCAAGTAAAGTCTTGGAGTTATGAACGGAAGCTTCCTCCATCCCAATGCCCACTCTGGATGGATGTTTTCCATGTCTACTATAGCTTGTAGGATCCCAAGGCTTGCATTCCTCTCAATTCCCAATTATACACCCTAGCTGTTGTCAAGACTTGATAATGCATCTATTGGAAGAGATGTAAGGTGAAAATATAGCCCACATAGGAGAGAAAAACAGTTTACTTCTGCTGTAACTTTAATTGCACCTTAAAATTAGTCACCATGGAAAAGTGCTGAAACTTGGTTCAAGGAAGTGAGGGATGACTTGAAACAGCAGGTCATTGTTCACATGAAATTTGTTCTTCCCCTTGGCTTTGAATACATGGAAAGGGTAAAGGTGCTATTGCACACTAATTATAGTTCTAAAATGCCCCATATTTCTTCTGCATTTACAATACCTGCAGTGGAAATGATAGTAGTTGGACCTCTAGTCTTTGTTATTTCAAATTTAAAACTCAGAGGATACAAAAGCATTTTAAGAAAATATCATGTCACCATCATTGTTGGAATCACAGTGAACAATGCGTGTGTCTCATCAACAATTATTTGCTCAGGTTTTACCAGAATGGCATTCTCAGAGTGGATGTAACTCCCATTCATATTCTGTCTAAACAACCCTTCCTTTGAAGTTTGGGGAGTTGTGTTGTCTTTTCATGTTCAAGACTCAGCTCTTGATAGAACATGATATATTCTTATAAAAGCAAATGCAATATTCCTCTCCAAGTCACATTTTTACTCTCTTATATCCCCAAACAAGCATATAGTCTCATACATCATGTCTGCTTTCTTATTTTAACAGACATTATTCTTTAGATGATTTTTAGGTTCACAGCAACGTAGTGGAAAGTGCACTGAGTTCCACACGCCCACTGCCCTGACACATGCACAGCTGTCCCAACAGCCTCCCTTCCCCAGATCTAAACCCTGCAGGAGAGTGGTGCTTTGTGAAGTCCATGAACCTACGCTGACACATCATTACCTTCCAAAGTTCATAATTCACAATAAGGTCCACTCTTGGTTTTGGAGGTTCTTTGGGCTTTGACAGATGTCTAGTGAAATGTACCCACCACTGTAGTCTCATACCAAATAGCCTCACTGTCCTAAAAATCTCTTGTGCTCTGTCTGCATTTTCATCCCTCTTCTTCTCTAACCTCTGACAATGACTGCTCTTTTTCTGTCTTCATGATTTTGCCTTTTCCAGAATGTCCTGGGGTCGGAATCATTTAGCACACAGCCTTCTCAGATTGGCCTCTCTCACTTGGTAATACGTGTTTGACATTCCATTGTCCAGCTGTAGTAGGTTTTAAAAACACCCGTTCACCTACTAAAGGGCATCATGACACCTTCCAAATTTTGGCAATCATGAACAAAGCAGCTGTGAACATCCTTGTGCAGGATTTTGTGTGGAAATAGCTTTCAAACACATCTGGATAAATACCAAGGAGTAGGGCCGCCAGACTGTACGGTGAGAGCATGTCCAGTTTTGTATGGGAGCAATGATAACAGAAGCATCACAAGAGCCACCTGGCTTTGCAGACAGGAAGGACCCCCACCGTTCTGGCCAGCAGGCAGCCACCCACAGCAAACAGGGGGGATTTCTGCTGCTCCTGCCGGCCGTTAGAATTAGCTCCTCTGTGTCAGTATGAGGCCTCTGGTCCCAAATCTGTGTCTTGTGTGGACTGACCAGGTGTAGTAGCCAATCCCCAAGATATTCTTAATGACCACTGCCTCCAGGTGTTCATGCCCTGGTGCATATTGATTAAAGATGGCTTGTGTAACTACGCGATACCAAGGAAAGGACCGCGTGGGACTTGCAATGCTAGACTGTAAGACTGCCATTGTGCTGTCTCTGGTCACTTGCTCTGGTGGAAGGCAGCTGCCCTGTTATGAAGACTCGCAAGCAACCCGACAGAGAGGTTCCTGTGTCAAGGAGCTGAGGTCTCCTGCCTCCAGCCTTGGTGTGCAGCCAGATTGGAAGTTGATCCAACAGCCCCAGTCAAGTCTTCATATGACCACCTCTCTGATCAAAATTTGACTGAAACCTCATGAGAAAACCTGAACCAGAAATGCCCTTCTAAGCTGTTGCTAATTCACTGACTCACCAAAATTGTGGAATCGTATGCTGTTGTTTTAAGCATCCAAGTTTTGGAGAAGTTTGATGTAAAGAGACAGATAATGAATACATCAAGAGACGGGGGTGCCAGCGTGGAGAGGGCGTGAGTGTGGTGGGCCAGGCCTTGATGTCTGCCGTTAATGAAACGTGATGGGACCGCACTGGACCCCCTCCCTGTGCAGTGCTTCAGTGGATGGCTTAATGGCCTGGGACTTTTCCTTACAATCCATGGCTTGGTTATAATGTCCTGTAGGAATCATGCACGTCCATTACGCCTTGTCAAGCTTCCTTGGGTAAAGCTTTGACTAGAAATTAATCAAAGGACATTGACCTCTTACAAACTTTGATTTTCAATATTGAATTCCTCAAAACAAGGAACCTCTTTGTTATCTTTATGTTCACCCCCACATACATCTTCATCGGAGGTAAAGATGCACATGGACAGTTATCTCATATATTGCTTTGAATAATAAGGAACACCTGTGTACCTTTCTGTCCCTTAACTAAAAGTTAAAAAAAATGTTTAACAACAGGGTCACCCAATGGAAAAAAATATATGGAAGGTCCTATGTCGTAAAGCTGGGGATTGAAGGGAACTTCCTAAACTGTATTTCAGATGAGAGTTCATCTTTCCAACTGCCTGAACAGGAGAGAATCAAGTCTTGATCTTTGATGGGAAATGTCCATAATAGGAGGAAAGTGTCACATCCTAGGGTTCTTCACTGAATGGGCAAAGACCCTTTCCAGGCTGGGGCAGCACGGGGAGGGGGGCGGCAGGGAGGGAGTTTCGCCTCGTGATGGTGGCATCCGTACCGCGATGAAGCACCTTTGCATCCTCACTGGACAAAGGTTGGCGTTGCCC